ATGTCCATTTAAAAAAATAAATGATTAAAAAAAACAAGTATTTGGGGGTATTTTATTAGGAGAAAAAAACGCATGGTGTTTCATTTGCAACAAGCTTGCTTTAAAACAAAAACATCGTTAGAGACACGACAAGTTGCAAATAATTGCGCAAAGTGCGTCATTTGCAGGTTATGGAGGACAGGCCTCAGCACGCGCGCACAGTGGCAGCTTATGGTTCCAATAAGCAGAAGAAAAAATGTTGCCATAGAATTGAGCAGGAATTCTATTTTTTATTGCTTCCTTTCTTCGTGTGTGTGTGTGTGTGGGGGGGGGGGGGGCGCACAGTGGGCTCCGCCACCTTATCTTTCATTTTAGGATAATTATAATTACACCGGGTCAGCCAAAAGCAAACAAATGAGTTTGCTTTGCGCAGTCGTGCGACTTTCACATCTTCAAATGTCACTATAGGTGTTTGTGCTGCTTTGCACACATGGAAGGAGAAGAAAAAAAGAAACAGCTTTCATTGCGCGCGGTCGGATCGCCTGCAGTCGTTTTTTTTTTTTTTTTTTTTTTTTTTTAAGCAACAGTTTTTGCAGGTTTTAAATAAGCACTTGGAGTTTTGGTTAATATTATGTTTTTTTTTTTTTCTTCACAAGGAGGCAGACTGACAACCTGTGTGTTTTAAAGGCTTGAGGACAGAACTGATCACACGCTGTTGGGCTTTTTATTTTAATCTTTCTTAGTTCCACAGTCTGCAGATAGGTGGCACAATTGCTTAGAGTTTATATAAAGATCAAGAAGGGACACAACCTTTTAAAGTCCATCGTTTTAACCCTCATAACCTTTTTTTTACAACTCCAAACGGGATCTATAGTGCCAGCATATTGTCGGGATGAACGCTGCTACCCCTCATCCTCCTCCTCTTCCTTCCTCCACACAGACTGAAACAGTTTGTCGTTTTTTTTCTTTTTTTTTTTTAACGAGTTCTTCTGTCTCATCATTGAGAAAAAGCAGTTCCACGTGCTGATCTGGAACTACAACTCCCATTAGATGTGATTTACATGTTATTTCTCAGGTTCCCCTTGTTTGCTTATTTGCCACGGTATACAGTATATATTTTATTTCGCTTTATATGTATGTATGGGTTAAAAAAAAGAAAAGAAAAACAATGTCATGAAAAGAAGAAATGTTTGGGATGAATCCAACTGATTTGAAAAGTGAACTCGAGGACTACACAGTGGAATAGCCTACATTTGATATTTATTTTTTTTAAATGACAGCGATGGAGCGATGCCTATAATTTATGCAAGTTGTATTGCAGAAAGGAGGGGTGCTTTGTTTGTTTTGTAAATATATAAAACGTATATAATATGATTGTTTTTTCCCCTTTGGCATTTGAGGAAACAAAGCTACACAATCTTGTTATCAGGAGTACTTTTACTAATTTATATCTCTGGCTGTATATATAAAAAATATAATGTGCTGGTATGGATATGGTATACTGGCAGGGTGTTTTATCCGTTATTAAAAAAAGAAAGAAAAAAAGAAGAAAAACAAGGAAAATATTAAACTTTTCCCCCCAACTATGACATGCACATCCTGGTGAGTCCTTCTTTCATTCCTAACAGGTTTGTATGGAACTGGTTTGGCGCAGATGGATCCCAGTATTCAGAAATATTATGAGTTTGGCAGATTGTGCAATCTATTCTTTCTGAGCCTCTTTTTTTTTTTTTTTTCTTTTAGGGGTCTCTTTTTTTTGGTCAAATATTCACGACTTTGATGGGGATAAATGACATGCTTATTCCACCCAAAAGGCCCCCCAGCCCCGCGCCCACACATTTATTTTTCAGTGTGATTAATACAGCCGAGGGAAACATCGGGCATTATGGGGCTCCCAGCGGGGTCGTCCCCTAAGCTTTATTTATTTATTTATTTATTTATTTTTCTCTCAGCCTGGCCCAGGATGGGTCAGCCCTGCCTGCTTCATTACAGCGCGGCATCGAGCGATCTATAAAAGTCTATCTAAGCATCTGCCAGCTCCAATGGGCTGTGTGATGGGCCCTAATCGGACAGGATCCCCCCCTTCTGCTTTTCACCATGACTGGCGATTATTACTGGAGGGCACAGCTAATTAAGCAAGTTAGACTTAAAGATAACTTTTGAGATGATGATGATGATGAAGATGATGATGATGATTATTATTATTATTATTATTATTATTATTTTTATTATTATGAATAGTTATTGTGATTTAAATCGGAGTAATTTAAATTTTGATTCTGAAACTTTCTATCAAAAATAAAGAAAAAAAAGTCCCTTCATCAGTGTAACCCCCCCTCCCCCATCATTGCTCCAAGCCAGACTCAAAGCTAATCCTTCATTTTCCAGTTGAATTTGAGCTTGAGTGTTGTTCAAATACCATGGGACCCCCACCCCCTCGCGCTACTCTCTCTCTCTCTCTCTCTCTCTCTCTCTCTCTCTCTCTCTCTC